TCTTTCCCTTAAAGGGATCCCACTTCCTGGACTGTGAAAGAGACTGATTACAGGGGCCCTGCGGCTCCCAGCCAACGGAATTCACCAGGAGAGGCTGTTTTGTGCTTCTCGGAACAAATGATAATGGTGTGTTTTAATGCAAGGGCTTACCTCAAAAGGGATCGTTTTGGCCATTCTTCCAGAACGGACCCTCCACTTTCCTTCTCGTATTCTTCCTGGACTGATAGCTAGCCATCACATCAGAGCCAAAGTGAGCTGGGCCCTTATCCTAATGGAGAATGTCACCTTCGGTGAGAGATGAAGTGCACACAGCAGGGAAGGCTGGAGCGTTGAGACCTCTAGCTGAGTTATCTCAAGGGGGGCGGGGGAAGGAACACAAAGGGTCATGTGCCCAAAGAAATGGTGAGAAGTTCCAGCAATTTCCGACTGTCCCATTCTTCTGGGCTGTGCGACTTGGGCCTTTCAGAAATCCTTGAGCCCCTCGAGATCCTTCTGGTCTGCCCTACAGAGAACATTTCCTTCATGTCACCGCCACTCCACAGATTCTAGCCACTGCTGTATACAGTTGATCCTCAAGCAACGTGGGCATTAGGGGCACCAACCCCCCCGCACAGTTGAAAATCTGTGTATAACTTTCAACTCCCCCAACACTAATAGCCTACTCTGCTAACTGGCAGCCTTACTGACAACATAAACAGTTGATTAGCACGTATTGTGTACGTGATGCATATTATATACTGTATTCTTACCAGAATGTAAGCCAGAGAAAATAAAATGTTACTAAGAAAATCATAAGGAAAAGAAAATACCTTAACGTTTCTCATCTGAATGCATTCACAGCAATATTTAGACTGGTGCGACCACATATCTGGGGATCGTGGCCGAGCCATAGAGTTAATCCCCCACAGTCCTCAACACACTGGGAGAGGAATCTGAAATCCACACAGTTTCTGGTAGTTGACTGGTTTATAAACCAAGACAAGGGGACACTCTCCAAAGAGGCCTCTGCTGGGACCTGGCCTTCCCTCACCTCCTCACCGAAATCACAGCTCAGGAAAGGTCATCTGCAAACATGCCTTTGCCACCAGGCTTGACGCCCGCTCAGACATTCCTCTGCAGGTTTACTGAGTGTGCGACTCCCGAGGGGACCCAGTGTGCAGGGAGCCCGGCCGGGTGCCCGTCCCCGCGTGTGCTGCCTGTGACTCCAGCCGGCCTGGGGACGGCGACCAGGGCCTCCAGGGGCGCTGGGACCCTCGCTGCTGAGTCTTCAGAAATGTCGCGAGGGAGGGAAGGGAAGGAGAAAGTCACTCTTGGAGAAGGGACCTCCGCCTTTGCACGAGCGTCAGCTCTAGCCCGCCCTCCCCCGCCATCCCTCCGCACCCGCGTGTTGCCTTCGAAAGGACATCGCAGATCCCGCGTGGTCTCAGAGCCAGCGCCGGGCGTCAGCGACCTGGCACGAGCACGGTCATCGCGCAGGGGACGCAGCCCCGGCGCACGGTGGCGCGGCCCCCTCCGGCGGCTCAGGAGCGGAGCGCTGGGGCGACCCCTCGGTGTGGTGACAGCGTCTGGGGAGGGTTCTCGGGTCCCCTCGACTTTGCGCTTGGGCTCCACCTCTGATTGGCCCATTTATAGCCTAATGGCCTCTCGGTGCGTGTGTTGTCGCTGAAATTCAGAAAGCACCTCGGGCGCGGCCACAACGTCCCGTCACCGCGGAAACGCCGAGCTGCAACCTCGCGGAGGGGACACCCCGCAGGCGTCCCTGCGGAAGAGTCCCCGAGAGCAGGTGCGGCGCTCGGCTCTGCGGGGACGGCGACCGGCTCGGCTCAGGCACCGCGGGCGGAGGAACACGTTCCCCGGCGTGGTGAGCGGCGGCACCCGAGCGGGGTGGGGACCGGGGACGAGCCGCTCGCGCTCCCGGGCAGGCCGGCCGTCCACCCCCCGGACCCGCCGGTCCTCTCGCGCTCTTGGGGACGTTCTGCGTCTGGAGAGCGTCTAGCTCACCTTGTTCTGCAAAGTCCAAGCTCCTGGGAGACCAGAGGTTTGAGTTTTCACGCGTGTCACCCATTTACCCCAAGGCAAGTCAAGGCCCACGGGGGACGCCCGACCGCGGGCGGGGCACACGGACCCGGGCCAGGGCGAACGCAGCCCCGCGCCTCGGCCCCTGCCTGCGTGCGAGTCTCACCTGCCCGGGGACCCCAGGGAGCCTCGGGGCCTGGCTCAGAGGCCTTTCCCTCCCAGCTTCTGGGCTCCTTCCTGACTGTCCCCAGAATGCCGGTGCTCCCTGTGTCCCTGAAGAGTTTGCACTGACGTCTTCACAATAAAGACCTAGTTTGTAAATGGGTGAAAGGCTTGTCTCTCGTATTCCCTAGTGTCTGCTCAGCCCTGCCCTTGCGTTTGGAGCCAAGCTAGTGCTGTATGACTCTATAAATGGGTGTTGAGTGACTCAGTTAAGGATTGACATAGGAAGCGGCCCTTCTGAGAGGGATGAGACTTCGTTTAAAACCTCAAGGGAAGCGATTTGTGTCACATCTGTCATGCGGAGGTGGTGGCGGAGCCCGCCTCTTGGGACCCATTATTGAGAGACTGCTGCCGAGTGTGCTGCAGATCTATTTACCGTAAACAGCCAACCCAGGTAAGGAAAAGCCCTCTGCATAGTTCTGCTAAATTCCACCCTAAACAGCACTAGTCGAACGCAGCTATTTCTGTCTTAAATAGGAATAGCTAATGCCACTGGAAATTAAGAAATAAAGAAGCTTCTGTCTTTATAGATTAATAATTGAAACCTGCTTCAGAAGGCCACCCACGTTCTAGAGAAAGTGGTTTTGCTGGTAAGTTTTTAAAATGCAAGTCTTCTGGAGAGGCTAGTTTGAAAGCGGCCATAAATCACACTAGTTCAAATGCCACGGGTGGTTTATGAAATGACCCACTCCCGACCTGCTCAATCTCTGGAGTAGAAACCTTGTGACCTCTGGCTGGCATGTGACATAACTAATATTAGTGTGAACTGCTGACTTTTTTCGGCATAATCGTAGCTATGTAATCACATACCAGGTTTTTAAAAACTTGTTTGATATTACAGACGATTATGGAAACTCTCAGACTGCCATTTAGTTTCAAGATGACTGAACCTTGTTGGGTGCCAAATTCATTTTTTAAAAATCAGACAATACCTTCTCAAGTTAAAATAAGACAGAATGACAAATTCAGAATGGCAAGTAGCCAACTGAAAAGAGAACTTAATAACGTGGTAATAATGAAAATATGCTGTTGATATCGCCATAGAATACTGCAGACCTCCTGGGTGAATTTCATAAGCTTTGAGCTATTTTTCTCAGAGAGTTGATGGATTTATGGTACCCAAAAGCTCAACCAGTCTCCGCGTATACCAGGAAAATCCCTGGGAACTGTGGGCTGGGGTGGCGATGGGGAAGAAGCCAGTGTCCTCCCCTTGTGGGACACAGTGTCACTTTATGGCAGAGATTCCGCAGCTGAGAAAGCAAGGTGTTGCCTTAAAATTTTAAAGAAAAGTTTTCCAGAAAGTTTGTCTCCTCTCAAAATCTAACTATAGCCTTAAAAGCTTTACTGAGGGGAAGGAAGGAAAGGAAGGGAGAGAATGAGAAGATGGGAGGCAGAAGCCGGGAAGGAAGAAGCTGTCACGGTGACCCTGTGCTCTGCGGAAGCGCCTTCCTTCCCTCGTTCCTTCCGCCCTGCTCTGCAGGAGGACACCCACTGACCCCCAGGAAGGAGGAATAGAAACAAAACTTCTTTTTCTTTAGTTCCTTCCCTCCTTGCATCAAAAAATGAAAAAAAAAAAAAAAAATGAAGAGCATCTTCCAGTAGCTTGACATGCCTGAGAGGTCCGGCCAGCTCACTAATAAGGATTTCAAGAGGCTTCTATCCCAAGCATGCCCCTCTCGTGGACTTCAGGCGAGAAAGAAAACAGACAAGTATCTGTATGCACAAAATCAAGCATTTTCTTACTGGACACAGAAATAAGAATACCAAGTAACAATTTTATTCACAAACTTAAAAAAGAGGTATTACAAAACTATTTGTGTAAGAAAACGATAATTTACAAATTTATAAATTCCAGTATGCAAAATAGAAATGATGAAATCTAAGTAGATGCAAGCTATCTTAAAGCAGTAATGGATTTTTTTCCTTTCCTTTCCTTTCCTTTGCTAGCACAGACAGTAGTGCTTAACCTAGGTAACAGCAATATTCACTCTTTATCTAACGTAGAAAAATCAGTATTTAAAAAATATACTCCACAAACACAAAGTTAGAAAACCCATGACTTTACTTGGTTGCTCTTGAAATCCTTGTCTCTTTCTTGTCCTTGAGCTTCGGCAGTGAGAAAAGCCACAGCTCTGCCCACTCGCCGTGCACAGTCCCCAGTGCAGATTTCCTGACAGCAGCACTCTAGCAGCTAAGGTACTGAGTGCTGTAGGATATTCCAATAATGCAAATTGGATTTTTTTCCTCAAGTGTTTACAAGAGTGTAAAATATAACATTATTTATGTTTCTAGAGCAGGTAGTGGTAAAATGTCTTCATCTGGACAAAAATAGCCCACGATTTTTCAAATGCAGTATCAAATGCAATCAATTTTCAATCCTAAGCATTTCTCTACTGATCAAAAGTGATGTTTCAGGAGTTTTTGCCAAAGTCTCTTTCCCATCAATCTGGCTTTCTCCAGCAAGTGTTTGTCTTTGAAGTTAATCAAGGCTCAACATATGGAAAATATATTCAGGTTACACAAGAGAACATAACCCTGACCTGCTTTGATCATCCCTCTGTCATAACAGAAATGATCAGGTTGGAAGCAGTGGCACACATATGTGAATTACAGAGAAGCCACTCAGAAAAGGCACTACATGCACTTTCATAGCTGTCCTGTGGTCAAATCCAAGATATTTTATATGAGCTTCCTAAAGGCAATTCTCATATGAGCTGGTGACTACCAAGGTTTAATAACTACTGGTTTAACGTAAAAAAAGGAAAAGAAAAAGTCAACCAATTATGACTAAGCGCTAGAGAGACGTGAACGATCACGGGTTACCATGAGACACCCTCACTTCCTATTTCAGGTAAAGGAATTGAGGTTGTAAGAAGGACCAGATACAGGCAAACTGGCAAGCACATATCAAAACTAAAAACCATGACTAGAGAAGAGGCCACAAGGAAGAGGGCTCATTGAATTTTACTGTCTCATAAGAGAGAAAACCATGGGCTAATGAGTGAGAAGATAAAAATGTCCTTGGAAAGATCAGTTTTAACATTCAGTTTAAACGTTAGCTAAAAGACACTGATTTGGGCAGGTCAATTCCAAAACAAAATACTAAGTGCATTCGAACATACTGATGTTCAAACGTCTATTTCTTTTTTAAGTGCAAATGTGACAGAGCAGTTAAAAGACAAAGGCCAGATCTGATCATGTATGATCAAGCAGAAAAAAAATAAATCCTGTTCAATTAAGTCTTCTTTAGGGCATGAAGATTAGGAGCCAATGAGCCATTCCCTGCTTCAAGACTGTATTGGGTTAATTTCTTTCTTAGCCCTAGGGACGACTCTAGTGAGTACATACCAAGGTGGTAGGGGATGGAATGTCTTAATAGAAGCATTATACTCTTAAATCCAGCATCATCTGGCTAAAGTAGGAGATTCTGTGCTAACTAATCTTACAAGATTGTTGGGAGCACAATGACAACCTGGTTAAACGACACTACAGGGCACTCATAGACTGTTCACAGAAACACTGCCTACAAACTGTGCTTTTTCTTCTGGTTCTGGTATGTACTGTATTCCCACTGAAGACTACTTCAGTAGTCAGGGACCCTGATGTGCTGTAATTTCTAAAGCCTTTAGTATAAGATACAATGTGGATAAAAGATCATTCTGTATATAAACACCACTTTTCTGTAAAAGAACTTCTGCATCTTTTAAGTCAGGCAAAGGGACAGATGTAACACATGCTTCCATGTCAACTAATTTTCACATAAATATGCTAATCTTTGCATGCAGGTCTCTAGGATATGTGCGCTAAGTGGTTTTTAACTGAGGGCGATGAGCCGCCCTTTTCCAACCAACAGTCCTAACCCAGCCTCTCTGGCTACCATCACTGCAGGTGTTATGAGACAAAGGCTGAGGTTAGAAGTGTAGACTCTGGAAAAGAGTTATTCTCCTCCAATTCCTAGTAAGGTCAGTTAACTTCATCTAACAAACCCAAGACTTAGGCAGGCAGTATGAAGTCAATTCTAACCATCTAAGCTAATCAGTTTCCATGATAAAGTGACTTTCTCAAATAGAAACATTCACTTTTGAACCTATTCTACGTAAACACTAGTGTAATTAATCTGGCATTGACTTTTAGTAGGATAACAGACTATATGCAATTATTTCTGAAAAGAAAATGTAAGTGAAAACTTATACTCTGGGTCTTCGGTCTTATAAAACCACATTCACCATGAAAATAAGCACTAATGCATTTCTGCTCCTTGTTAAATGTCTGCAATCTCAACCCATCAGTCTTTGAAGTCACTCTTGCAGCAGAGAAGCTTCTAGTTTAGGAAAGAGGCAAAATATCATGAGTCCGTCTGAAGTCTTTTCTTGTTATTTGTTGAGGTTTCAGCTTACAGCTGGTCTAGCTCAGAGGCCGCCAGTTGAAAGGCTTACACTGCTGTCAGTTTGGTTCAGATTTATTTTCCCCTGAGAAGCCGTGCAAGGTCTAGACTGTGCCCAGTCCATAAGCCTGATGTGGGGGTGCCTTTTTAGTTCCACGAACACACTTCCACTGCAGAAAGAAGCCAGTCAGTCCTTCAAGCCTCCTGAAACAGCAGCAGAGGGAAAGCTTTAAAAACAATACCGTCAAATTAAAGCTGCTAAATCTCTCACTGTAAAAGGTTATTATGAATAACTTTCACTAGTGGCATACATGAATTGAATAATGTACGGACAAGAAGCTCATTCAATGGTATTCAAATATCCAGACCCCATGTACTTTTGAGAATAAAATCAAGGATTTCATAAGAAATAGTCACCCAATATTTGTAGAGTACTTAAAAGATGATAATGTCACCATAGCAATCACACGTATCAACAAACAATTCTTTTGCTAATTTTCAACCTCATGCAGACATTTAACGCTTGTTTCTTTCATGCTCCTTCAAAGCAGTTGTAGGTAAAGAGTTCAGGATTCTTTATTCCCTTCTTTCAAAGAGCAAAGATGATTAATGAATATAGCAACGTTGTTTACTTGACAACTAGGTCTTTGAATTTAAAACTTCCATTAAACTATTGGAGAATGTTTGGAAGTCGTTTGGGAATGCGATTTCTCTTACAGTGGTCTGCCTGGAATCCTCACCATCTTCAGAGGGCAAATATCCTCAGCAAAGGGCCCCTTGACTCGTCCATATCACAAAGGGCACTGATCTCACCTCAGGAAGAGAAGAGGCATTGGCAAACTGTAAGTCAATCTTTAATTCATGCATTAACCCTTCACTAACTTATTCACCACTAATTTGGCATCAGTGACATATCAGATGAGTTTATGGAAAAAATTGTTTCCTAGGTCTGAGGAGATTATCTAGAAATAAAAGCTTTTGAAGTACTATCAGTAATAGGAGACAGTTTCATCAAATATGCTGACGAATTAACATGCTAATAATAAACACATTAACCCTTCTGTGGGAGGCAAATTATCCTTTATGCCAGTAAGGAAAATGTAGGGATTTCAGCCGACTGACAAAGGAGAACTCAGGTCCTCTCACATCTTTCTAACCTTCTTTCTGTTTGTTCAAGTTGACATTTAAAATCTGGCTTAAAACCATTATGCAAAGCTCTTCCTGTGAGTAAACAGGCTGGCTGCACTCTCCCAAATATCTCAGCAAGTGATGTCCCAAACATCTCAGTCTGTTCCCTTCCGGGAAGACGTGTACAGGGAAACTGATTGAGATGGAGCCGTGCTCTACAGAGGGCTCTCCCACCCGCGTGGCTCTATCCTGAACCGTAACAGTCATCAGATTCTGGGTGGTCTTGATCCACCCACAAGAAAACTAGCATACAAAAAATACAGTTTGCAGAAACAAATGCACCATGCATCAGAAATCAGTCTCACACCAAGGGAAGATGAAAGTACTGCTGTGGTCACGCTGCCCCTTACGCACCTCCCGACTAGAAGGGCAGTGCTCTCCTGACACAGGAACGAGCCCGTGGCCCTAAACACGGAGCCACGCTCACCACACACGGACTCCAGGAGTCGGCAAGACTGACTGGAAGCCGTGTGCTCGGCTTCATAATAGTGAGCTGCCGAAGTCACGTTCTTTATGACAAGGAAATGTGTTTTCTACCTTGGGAAACTAGCCTGTTAGGGGGAAACGTGAGTTCTTTTGAGAATTTAGTAGATTGAAAAAAAAAAAACAAAACTAGTTGAGTTAAACACTTGGCTGACCACTGAAATAAAGACAAGGAGCAAGACCCAAAGGTTTACAGCTGCTGTGTGAACAGTGGTTTTACATTCAATGGCATTCAAACACCCAGGACCCATGTAAGGGTCATTCACTGTATTTCACAGAGTCAGTAAATGCAACTGAACAGAAAGTGCTTTTCAGAATCTGGGAAAGATTGTATCTTAAAACAGGCTAAAAATATTACTGTTTTTAATTGTAGGGGGAAATGGAAATGGTTCACATTTTCACAATTCCTTTTCTGAATTCAGAATGTCATACTTAGATTTACCTAAATTATCTAATAAGATAACATATCTCGAGAAGTTAATAAAAAAAACTTTCGTTAATAAATTGTATCATACAACTTGACTGTAACATTTTCTCGTCAGATTCGCTTGAGATGTAACGACAACTTTCTTTTCAGAATGACTCGAGCTGAAAATATCTTTATGTAGATCATGATAATTACTTTGGTTTTGAAAAAGAATTAATGTGTCATTTTATGCCAATCTCATATACTAAAATCTGTTTCTAAAATTTTACATTCAAACGGCCATGACAATAGTGCTCATAAGCCTGACCCCACCCCCCAACAACACAAGCAGAAAAAGGTGAGGAATGGGCTGGTTCTGCCATGACTTGGTATCGAGATGTTTCCTTCCTCAGTCTCAAAAATTTACTTCACAAACTTGGAGACAAGCTATAAAATTAAGATGAGTGGCAATTCTATTTCCTGACAAGACCCTGAAGAACTGTCCCTAGTTAGCCAGTAGCACAATAATGCAAATGACTCAGACTGTCCCCCAAGAACAGGCGCACAGATGATGTGACAGAGGCAGGGGAGGTAGCCGTTAGACTCGCTGGCCAGGCATCAGTCAGTCCTCTGCTGCTGTGGGCGGGCTGTCCCTGCGTCTGTGTCCCCTCAGCTTGAGCCGTGCTCTGCTGGTGTGTGGGACCTGCTGCTGCTCTAGGCTGCTGAGGTTCTCAGCCCCTGAGTTTTGTGAGGCACAGTCCATTTTTGAGACTTACACCCAACTAGGCTAATGCTTAAGCTTCTCCTATTTACTATCCATGAAAGTTATACAAATCATGGGATGGCTTAAAAGCACACGATCAGTAAACAGTCTTTCCCAGCTGTAAGCAGATCTCAGAGGCATGCACTTTACGTTCTCAAAACTGCCTAATCTGTTTGTTTTTCCTCCCTTCACTTATCTTTTCTCCATTTCCCTCATTTTGAGAACAAAACCAACATTTTTCCCTCTAAAACCAACAGATGTTTTCTCTATAGAATTTTCTATAAATTCTGTAGAAAATATTTTTTTAATTGTTAAAAAAACAAGTACTGGCTGTCTAGTCAGCTCACTTGGGAAAGAGGTGCTGATAACACCAAGGTCAAGGATTCGGATCGTTATACTGGCCAGCTGCCAAAAAATAAAATTAAAAACAAGCACTACAGATTTAGATCAATACGTACCCTAAGGACTGATCTTAAAAGGAGCACAGCTGCATTCACGCTTTGACTTTCAACTGTTTCTGATACAAGGAGGCAGGGGTGCACATCTCATGGGAGTGCAGGCCCGCACAGCCAGGTGGGAGCAGCACAGCTCGGTCACAGCGCTTCCTCGACCCCAGAGGCCCTGATTTGGGGCAGGAAGGGAGAAGCTGCCAGAGCAACACTGTCCTGCAGGGCAGGGTCTCGCGGGACCCGGGAGCTGTGCTGTTGCTGTGACTCTGCCCTTTATACTCAAGGCTGACACCATTCTTCCAGAAGAACTTACACTAACCACATATGTGCTTCCTTTAAGGAAGTGTTGTTTAACGTTAAGTCAAATTCAGCAAAGGCCACGTCCTCACCTGGAGGAGAAGGCAGAGATAGTGCCCAGTTGTCCCTGACCCATCCCTGCCTCCAGCTTTGCAACATGCCAGGAAGCCTCACCCCTCTGCCACTGCCACCTCCAACAACCTGATTTTAATCCCTTCCGCCTGGGAGGGTCTTAGACCACAACCATCAAATCAAACTGATCAGTCAGAGCAGAGAGATCCAGAAAACAACAGTAAGAGGGAGCAGCTTTGGGAGACCTAACTTCTAATTAACTTGACAGTGAATAAATGCATTTAAGTATTGGGCATAAGAATATCACAGGAAAAAATGAAGGCGAGGAATTGCTTGCAAGATGCTCCCACAACTAACTCATCTCTCTCAGTCAGGGAAGGAGGACGGGGTGCTGGGCTAAGGAGTCGAATTTACAAAAAAAGAATAAAAGAATGCAGCAGTCCTTTATGGTCTTGTAGATTAGCTCTGTTTTAAAAAAAAAGACTCAATTTATTTTAAAACATACAAGAAATTTTGAAAGAGGAAAAAACCTCATGAGGTCCCCCCCAGTTTTCTGATGGGAATAGAGCTGCACTCCTGTCGTTCTAGCATAAGTCGAAGCTGGTTCACGCCGGGGTCAGTCATTCCTTACCTGGACATCACCACTGTCCTGACCTCGCTGCCATCTGGTAGCTGGTGCAGCCCGAGTTAGTGCCGGTGCTGTCAGTGTGTTGTCGTATCTACATAAATCAGTAGTTTCCGTCAAGTTTTCAGAATGAGCTTGAACTGAAACAGCTCCACCAACCAAATCCTGACTACTGTTTGAATCCAAAGAGGCTGAGCTTTCCTTTTCTGGACTGACAGAATTAACATCTTCTCCGGCAAGTTTAGGATAAGAGTCGCAAAAAGACACGTCGTCACCACCCGTGGGACTTTGCATCAGAGGCCAGGCGTCTGAAAACTCGCCACAGAAGGACCGCGAGAGGGACCGGAACGGAGTGGGCACGGTCTCCCCCGCTGGGCCTGCATTTCTGAACACACGTTCAAGAGGTCTTTACATATTCTATGAGAGAAGAAAACACTCCTGCAAAGCAGCTTTTCAGCTGTCATTTTAAGGCTTCTAGATGAAATGGCAATTTATTAAGTTAGAATTCTAGTGCTTCCTGTTAGAAACATGCCCAAGTCAAATTACTCCATTTACTTTAAAACTGAATTGTTACACTTACTTCTAATTAACATAGTTATATTAATCCAATGTCTAGAACATGCAGTTTCCTCGGTATTAACTGGGTTTTCTTGATTGCTGTTCTAAAATTTGATTGTAGTATGTCATGAGTACTTGACACGTTAAAAATTACAGATGAGAGAGGTGTCACAAATCATGAATATAAGACAAAACTAAAATTAATGGACAGTAAAGTATAAAGAACATTGTATTGGATATTAGCAACCTTGGGAGACCTACCTAATTCTTGCCAAAGAATTATCCCCCTCTAATATCAAGAATGTCATTAGTAATATTTAATAAGTAATGTCTCCATAGTTTCACATGGAAATTGGTAAGTTAGTAGAATGTATGTTTGCACAAGGAACATAAAATTATTGTTTCAAAGTGCCCAGTTACCTCTCCTGAAGAGTGGCCCGGCCGCTGCTGCAGGCCTCGTCACAGCACAGGGACGGGATCAGGTGGACAGGCCCTAGGGAAGCCGGCAGAGCTGTGAGGCACATGCTTTTCTCTGGGAACCTTGTCGTTAATACCAGTTCATTGTTTTTCTTGGAAACTTAGCTATATCCCTTTAGGAGACTTTTCTGGGGAAAAGAGGCATGAGGTTCTCTATTCTCTTGTCTTAAAAAATGATGAACCACTTATATGAGGTCCCTAGAGAAGTCACACTTGCAGAGACAGATGTAGAAGGGTGCGTACTGGGGCTGAGGAGGGAGGAACGGGGAGTCGTCATTTAATGGGGACAGAGTTTCAGTTGGGGACGATGAACACAGCTCGGGAGACGGACGGTGGTGACGGGTGCTCCGCAGTGAGAGTGTACTTAATGCCACGGAACTGCACACTGAAAATGGTGAGGACGGTCAGTGTTATGTTATGTGTGTTTTATCACAATAAAAACGATGAAAAGTAATACTGCAGTCTGCGAGGGGGCATGTGGCACGAGACGCCTGTGCACTGCTGTGCAGACGAGTGACAGTGCAGACGCTGTTGCGTGGTCCAGCGATACGGACAGAGCGTGGACATGTTCACACGCTTTAGTCAACGCACACACAAACACACGGTTGTTTTCCTTGCTAGGAATGTAACTTTAGGATTAAGTAGATGTGCGCACACAGCTTTACAAGCCATAATGTTCACGGAAGAAGCATATCTTTTTGGTTACAAAGATAATACAAGATTATTGAAGAAAAATTTTAAAATATAAAGTGAGAGATTAGATAAAATTTAAAAATAAATCTTACCCAATCCTACAAACTGGAAATAAACACGGTCAACATTTTGGTGAACAGCTTTCTAGACTTCTAGCTCTCTCTCTATATATATGTGGGGGTCTTCAAAAAGTTCATGGAAAGATGAACCTTCTGAAGACCTTTCATACATCAATAATTCTGATTTTTTAAAACCATAAACATACTAAAGCACACAGACACATAGACACACAAACGAGAAAAAGCCTTGGAGAAATTGTACATTTACACATATGCATATGTTCATATGTGTATCCAAACTTTTCATGAGGAATATCTCTTTACTTTTATGAGCAAGAAAAAAATATTGTGAAACAAATATCTCTCTTTCTGAAATGAATGTCAAATACTAAGCTGTAAGTGCAAACCGGTGTTAGGCGGGACGGAAGCCCAGAACGCTCTCTCAAAGCCAGGCCTGCGGCTGGTGCCATCTGAGTGGCTGCTGCTGTCACTGTGGCGAACTCGCCTGATTGCCAGGTGACTCAACGAGCCTATGCTGTGCTCGCTATAGGACATTTCAAAATTATTTAATAGCAAAGCACTCCCACTCCTTGTGGAAATGGCTAATTCTAGCGAAAGTTCAAGATGAGCCTGGAACTTCTTTTTGTGCCAGAAAGTAAGAGAGAGCTAAAAGAATAATGAGGACAGGTCACCACGGCACAGGAGCCAGCCTGAAGGGATGTCCATTGGCCAAACCTAGGAGAATCTGAGCATCAAAATGAACAATGATTCCAAAGGATTGTAACCATTGAACAGGCCCACGAGTCTAAACTAATCAAAGTAAATAAATGAATCATAAGGAGGGGAAGTTCCTCTTACATAGGAGGCCAGCCAGCAAATGTGGAGGACGATGGGACTGGAAAAGCAGCATTTGTGAACCACCCAAGTAATGACTGATTCAGGGAAGAATTACCAGAGCACGCTAAACTACCAGGTGAAAGTTTGGGGAGTAACAGGATATTTATATGGTCTTAAAGTATCTCCCCACAAAATAGTTATTAATTACAAAGAAAATAACAATTATTTCCAGTGGAGAAACCTGGCAGATACCAGCTTAATTACTAAGTGACTAAAGTTAACCTGACCAGGCACAGGACAGACGGACACCTGTGACTCCTGATACGGGGCACTGAGAAGGACACAGCATATCCTCTGCAGTCTTTCTGAATCTAATCCTGAGAGATCATCGGACAAACCCAAACTGAGGTCACCCTACAAAATTACTGGCCTGCACTTTTCAAAAATATCACTGTCATGAAGCACAAAGAAAGGTTAAGGAACTATTCCAGATTAAGAGGTCAAAGAGATTTAGCTAAATTTGGCAACAGTGTTATCTGGGATTTTCCTCTGCAGTGAAGAACGTTATTGGGACAATTAAGAAAATCTGAATATGTGCTATAGATTACATAATAGCATTGAATTAATACTAATTTCCTGATTTTAATAATCATGCTGTTGTTAGGTAAGAGAATGTTCTTGTTCTTAAGAAACAAAGACAAAAGTATTAAAAAAGGACGTCGTATCTGCAACTGATTTTTAAATGGCAAATGAAAAAAAGAAGTGTGCATATTTATACCATACTGGGGGGCGGGAGAAATGAGGCAAGTGTGGAGTGAGATAAAATGTCAGTTTTGGGGGAATCCGCGTAAAGGACATGCGGGGATTCTTCGTCCTACTCTCTCAACATTTCTGTAAGTCTGAAATATGTCAAAACAAAAAGTTGAAAGAACAAAAAGGCACTGCCATTAGGGAGGAAGTGCTTGAGATGACCAGCTGCGCTGGACTCGGTGTTGGCGTGGGTGGTCTCTCCAGCCTGCATTCTGCTAGGGGGACTGCAACGAAGCCATCTGCACGTTTAATCTTCCTTTCCAGATCAAAGTAAAGATGAGGCAGCATTTGCACAAAGCTGTATTTTGTTACATTTAAAATTAGAGTTCATCTCTCAAGAAATTATTCCTGTTCACTGTGATTCTAATACCAGTGTCCATGGTGCTTGGGGAGCATATGGGGATCCCACAGTTACTGTCAATAGCTGTCTACGAGTCTATTATTTATGCAGGCAAAGGCAAAACTAGATCCATATATGCCACAGAAAGTCTTGTGTTTTGTTCTTTTTTTTTTCCTTTTTGTCTTTTTTTGTGTCCGGCAACGGATTGCAACCCTCGGTGTTGCGCCCGCACCTTGCTCAGCCAGTGAGTGGGAACCGGTCTGTATGTGGGATCCGAACCCTCGGCGGGAGCGCCGCCGTGCTCCCAAGCGGCGCACTGTAGCAGTGCGCCACCGGGCCGGCCCTTGTGTTTTGTTCTTAACCCATTCCTAAAATAAAAGATACTAATGATCAGTAGAAAAAGAATTATGTTGGAAACGTCTTATTCCAAATTTGCTATACAAGATTGGAAAAGTGAATCCTGCAATTTCTTGAAATGGAAGATTGTATGGTTCCAAGAGAATGAGTCAATCTAACTGGGATATGTTTAAATTAAAGCAAAGACTGGTCCGAGGAACAGAGTGGTGCCACTGGCACTGCACTCAGAAATGGGAAGTGACAGGACAGCATGGAGCAAGGGCCGGCTTCGGCAGAAGGTTGTTCGCCATGTATGATTTTAATAGGGGGTGGTGTGGAGTGAGGTGTGGAGTGTGGAAACCTCGTACTTAATGCATACAAGTAAGTGGCCAAGAGAGCTGGTGTTACCTTTGCCCGCATTTGCCCAAGTGAGAGAGTGATTTCCACTGGAATGACTTTCCTAAACTTTCACTTCCATCAATAATCCAAGAGGCAACTGTGGTTTGTGGAAAACCTGGTCATGGGCCTCTCACCTCCCTCTTCTTTAAGAAATTTTAAAAACCCAAAACGTTACAATAGACACATCAACGTTCAGTTTGAATCAATCAGACAGCAAAGGATACAAACGCCTACTCTACAAAAGGTAATTTTAAAGCAACAGACTCAAAACAAGAACAGCAAACTTGCCTAAAAAGTTGCTGAAAAATTCTCAAAATTCTAACAAGATGCTTATTTTCTTTTTAATGCTGAAGAGACTCAAAACACCCCAGTCAACAGGGAACATCGGAGAATAATTAGCAAGACTAGCTTTAACTAGGAAACTGAGCCCCGCAGCCTCGCTGGGAGAGAACGTGAGCATTTCCCTGCAGTTTCTCTCTGTGCCCTCCCCTGCTTACCGCAGTTCTGGGCCAGGTCTCGGTGGCATTGGTGGCATGCTCTGTGAGCACAGTTGCTGAGCGGAGGTCTGTCAAAACACGACAGCTCAGAACCATTGTACTGAATGTCCTGTGATCTCAGAGACCCTGGACGAGGGAAGGAGAACTGTGTCAGCGAACACGATTTCCTCTGTAGGGGAGCCCTGCTAACATCGTAATGCAGACTGGTACATTCTAGCTGCTGTGTTTTTAAAGGAAAAGTCAGCCATCATTCAAATGTTTGATCATTTCTTCTTACACGAAAGCACAAATATAAAATACAGTCATCTCTCAGTATCCGTGGGGCATTGGTTCCGGGAATCCTGCAGATACCAAAATCCTCGGGTGCTGAAGTCCCTGATATGAGATGGTCTAGTATTTGCATTTAATCTGCACAATCCTTCCGTAGACTTTAAAATATCTCTAGATTACTTATTCCCAATATATTGCAAATGCTATGTAAACAGGTGTTGTACTGTACTGTTTAGGAAATAATGACAAGAAAAAGACTGTACCTCTTCAGTACAGAGGCAACTTTTTCTCCCCGAATATTTTCAATCTGTGGTTGGTGGATCCACAGATGTGGAACTCACGGATACAGAGGGCCGACGGCAATTTGTTACAAAAATTCAAGATTTAGCGTTCTTATGTTACCAGAACTTAGGGTGACTTTTATTTTTGCCCAGTGGCATGGGGACTTTACGGCCTTGCCAGTGTCCTGATGGTGTCATGCCATCCTGGCAAGGTCTACTCCATGTGGCCTCTACTCTTTAGCAGCTCGGTGATGCCACGTCTCGTGGAACACCTGCATGACAATCACTGTACATGCACTCCACCAAATGCTGAGAAACACGACAAGCTCGAAACTTACAGCTGGGTTTTTTCTCCATGAACTGCCTCTTACAGTAGATGACACAGAGGATGAGTAGGGCCAGCAGGACAGTGGCCAGAGCGCTGCAGATGACGGCTGCCAGAGCTGTGTCCCGCGGGCTGGATGCTGTGGACGCGATCTTCACGAGGTTGACCTTGCTGGTACCTGAAAACCACAGGAGTGGGGTCAGCACACTCTGAACAACCCAGGGGACGCAACGCTTGCACCCACACCGGCAGGCACAGTTGGCAATGGCCCCCACGCGACATAAATAAAGCACGAGAAAATCAGTGCAAGCTATTTTAAGATGGCTCGAGCAGCCCTCCCCTTAGATTTTTTAACGCTACGTCCACACCCTGCACCCCAAAAAGTACTGGATGCGCCTCTCCTCGGTTCCCACAACAGGACAGACACAGCCCTCAACACACTGTGTAGCAGAGATCTGCCTTCAGGTCCACTGGGACAGGGCTCTTTGTGAGCTGGGATCCTTCGTCACCTTTGTCTCTGTATCCCCAGTACTTGGCAGTGTTTGGCATGTGGTAGGTACTTAAAATTTCTTATTGAATTGGAATTAGACTACCTACATTTTTAAGCAGACTGAACTAAAAGTAGGGTTTTGGGGACAACTTTAGGGAAAAACAAGGAGTTGGATCATTTACAACCTTATAGTAGGCCCCCAGTTTCTGAGACAGCAAGCATTTCTGAATTCTGAATTAAGTTAGCTGTTAACTTACTGAAAAACATCTACGTTCTGGAGAACAGACTACACTCTAGCGGGGCAGGGGTAGTAGCGTGCGAAGAAAGTCAAGAATGGGTGCTATTTTAGAGGGCGGTGCTGTCTTGTGTTAAGGGCAGGTTCTGGAATGCCACAGCTCCACAACCTCCACAAGTGTGACTTTGAGCCACTGACATGATCCCTCCGAGTCCCAAGCCCACATCTGTTCAGATGGACAGTGCCTGCCCGGCTGCCTGTCCAGAGGATGAAATAAATGGCTTATCATGGAAAGTACTTAGGGTGGGGCGCGCACCTAGTTCTATAGGGTCATTAGCTATTGTGGTGATAATGACCATAATTAGCATTTTAATTATCCTTAGGGTGTGGGGATGCACATACATTAAAATCAGACATCTATAGTCAGTGGAATGACAGCATATCCTAATTAACCCCGGATGAGTCTGAGAGAGAAATGAGGTTGAGGGGCCATAAGATCTAAACAGAGGGACAGTCGCCTTCTCTACCCCGGGAAAGGCCCGGTGAGCCGCTGCCGTCGCGGGAGCCCTTCCCTCTCCTGGGGCCACTCCTGCCCAGTGGTGCCCGACAGAAGTGTCACATGCACCTCACACGCAATTTTAAGTCATCTAGAAATCACATTACAAAAGTAAAAAGAAACAGGTAAAATTAACTTTCATCTATTTTACTTAATCAATATATCTTCACATATTGCATTTCAGCATGTATTCAATATGAAAACTATTAATGACCTATTTTGCATTCTCTATTTTGCACTAAAATTTCAAAATCCAGTGTGATTTTATAGGGACAGCCCATCTCATCTCAGTTGGGATTAGCCACCCCTCAAGTGCTCGGCAGCCGCATGTGGCAGCAGCTACCGTAACAGACACTGAGCTCTAGAGAGGAGAGGCTCATGGCTACGTTTGTACAAGACGGCGCCTACGTGCAAACCCGCTTGTCATCGGGTGCCTTTTTCCTAGTCTCTGGTCCCCCCATGCCCAGTAAGATTGGTCTCCACTGTATGTCACTGGAGGCTAAAACCAGAGAGAAACATTTGGGTTAATATTATTGAATCATAAAAGTAAGACAGCAGGATCTTGAAGCACAAGTCTTGGTATTTCCAGTCTCAGTGATTCTGGGCTACACAGATGTTTCTTATTGTCACCTGGGAAGGCACATAAGCTGTATGTCTTGGGCTTGGATAAATAGGGATCATAATCCAATCACACGTTGTAAAGGACATTTAATTGTAAACATGTTTAATATTCATAAAATGTATTTCATCACTTCTACAGCTATACAGAAATACTGCAATAATCAAATAGCACATACTAAATATTCACCACACAGCAAGTTAGACGAATTACCCCCCTGATAGAGATTAAATCTAAATCTGAAACAGCCTCTGTCAGTGGCAGATTCACAGAAGGATGCATGAACACAGACACAGCTGTGCAAACACTGGCAAATAAATAACTGAATAGCAACTTATGTCCTGTGCATGTTAAGACAGCAGGCCACGCTGAAGGGGAGGTGACGTGGAAAAGCAGGCATTATCTATTTGGATGAAACGGGGAGGTGGTGGGAAACTGCCATGTCACCCACATCTGTGAGAAGCGCTGTTTGCTCCAGAGTGAGGTCCGTTCCCTCTGCCCCACGCAGCCCCATTCTGTGGAGCTTCAGCAATAGCTGTCGTCAGAGTGAGGCATGGTACAGGATCCCAGCGTAAGATCTCGGAATTCCCGTGTTGTAACTATTATGTTAAGCTCATTATCTGATATAGCATTGGATGTTCAGAGAAAACCTAGTAAGAATAGGGATTTCAGGTTAAAGTAGTAGCATGATTAGAGTCCTTTAAGTTCTTATTGTTTAAAATCCTTCCAAAATATCCTAGTCAACTTATTTGCCTTAATGTAAAAGGAACTGTCTCTGACTTATAAATGGGTTAAAATGTCTCCAAATTGGGAATATTATTTTTTTTTTTTTTTTNCACTCCTAGTACGTAACTAGAGAACACACAGTTGTGTACAACAATGCCCATTGCAGCGTTGTTTGAGGGGTAAAAAATAAAACAATTCAAATCTCCATCAACAGAGAAATATATACATCATGTACTGACGTATTAGAAACCTTGATTAACAGTGAAAATAAACTAGAACTGTACATTGCAACACGGATATTTCAAAAGCAAATGTTTCATAAAGATATGCATAAAATATATTTTTACGAAAAGTTTTTAAAACGTGTAAAATGATACTACATATTGATTAGGGTTATGTGCATCTTTTAAAGTTAGGAAATAAAAAGCATGGGACCAGTAAATACCAAAATCAGGCTACTAGTTAATTCTGGGGTCTGGAAGGAGGGCTATGCTATCGGGAATAGACACACGGAGGGATTGCTGAATGGGCGGTGTGGTGTCCATTAGCTTCTTTTGTATACTTGATGTATTTTAGTATTCTAAAAACGTAAATCTAAGAAAGGAGGTAAATACACCGTGTTATCAAGAATTTACTACTGTTAAACAGCCGGGGTAGTAAAACAGACGGGATTCTAAAAGAAAGGAACAAGCGTGTTTTCCACGACCCCTGGGTAGAGGTCTCTGCACAACTTTCCCTGCAGCCACCACAAAGCTTTCCTCGAGTTTCCTACAGTTAATGGAACGTATTCCTTTCTCAGACCCCTCACTGTTTCTGAGACATTAAGGAATAGTCGAAGGACCCGAGGGAAGTTAGTGTTGGGCCGGGCTCTGATTTAGATCCTAAGAATGTTGACTCTCACTTTTGATAAAATTAACGACCAAGAACAGGCTGCAAGCAGCTCCAACCCTCCGCGAGGTACTGGCCTCTGCTCTGTCCCCTGCTCCTAAAATCTCAGCCCACCGCTACCTGTTATAATAGTCGCTATTTCAACATCCCAAGCTAACCTGTTCACAGCAATGAAGAATTCAGTAGATTACATGCAGGTAGTCATTTAAGCTCTTTTGTTGATAGCTTGGGGGCCCTAAAAAGGGCCTTTTTAGTAAATGACAGGGCCTCAAAGTGCTATTTAGCCGCCGAAGCCGTAGAGGGTGCGTCCCTGGCGCTTGAGCGCGTAGACCACGTCCATGGCGGTGACAGTCTTGCGCTTGGCGTGCTCCGTGTAGGTGACGGCGTCGCGGATCACGTTCTCCAGGAACACCTTGAGGACCCCGCGGGTCTCCTCGTAGATGAGGCCGGAGATGCGCTTGACGCCGCCGCGGCGGGCCAGGCGCCGGATGGCGGGCTTGGTGATGCCCTGGATGTTGTCGCGCAGGACCTTGCGGTGGCGCTTAGCGCCCCCTTTTCCCAGACCCTTGCCTCCTTTACCGCGGCCAGACATTCTCAATAAGTCACAGAGGAAAACCGTGCTGCCAGTAGTAGCAGCTTCCTTTTATATGTAAACTATGCGGACCAGATTGAAAACCGAAAGAGCTGTGGCGGGAAGTACCTCTGTGTTAGGGGAGGGGACCTAAAAGGCAAACAAGTCTGCTGGGCTATACTCCCTTTTGTTCTCTTTCAGTTCTTTTCAATCCTCAAGGCCTAGTCTATTTTCCTCCTCCTTTTTTTTCATTCAAAATGATTTCTGCCCCATCCTCATTAAACAAAATTTTAACATTGTAGAAGATTCATCGAAAATTAAAAATAATAAAATACTGTTTTTAACTATGTATGTATACACGTATTGTCTTTCTGGAATACTATTTGCATAAGACTGCTATTTTGTAACATTTTTCTCCATAATCTAGGATGGACTAATGAAATCCAGAATTTTAGGATCTTTTAGGTATATTGCTAAGTTCTCTTCCACCAAAAGTGTACCTGTGTTCATTTCCAACAGCAGTTCCTATTATGCCTACAACCTTACTAATGCAGGATAGAATCATTTACAAAAAATCTAACTGTAATAATTTGAATTTGATTTCATGTATAGAGAGTTAACTTTTTAGAAAGTTAACCATCTGGTTAATCAGTGCAATATATTAAATATTTCCCCCACTGATTTGAGGAACTTAATTTATCATATGTTGAATATTTCACTTAAAATTACTTCTTGAGTTTCTATTGTTTCACTGATCAGTCTATGTCTAATGCTAAAAAATTTTCAGATAGGAAGAGGAGGTGTAGGGGCAAGGGAAACTTCCCCTTCAACCCGCTAAAGGTTCTCTGAAAAATCATCTGATAGAGATTAATACAAAGAAAAAGGCATAACAAATTTTATTATTTCAACATGCTGGGAGGGGAAAATGCATGGCAGAATCACAAGAGAGTACTGTCCCAATTTCCCATAGGGTACAGATTATTATATACCAGTCTTCATAGGAAAGGGGGAAATAGGGGATGTTGGAGTAAATGATTTTTAGAGGGGCTCAGTGGGCTGCAGAACATGCAATTGGCCCAGACAATGACTAGTAAATAATTTTCTTCAAAATATCGAACGGGATCAAAATAGAAGACAATAGTCTGTGACGAGAGTTAGTCCAGGTGTGTTGACAGACTCCAGTCTTCTTTCCTATGATATGAGTTAAATTAGTAGAATCTCAGTTAAAGGACCAGAGGTAATTATCGTTTTCTTTGGTGGGTCCAGACTTCAGGCAGATAAGGGAACAGCTTCATCCTGTGCTTTGAAAACTGACAGAGGAATGACAGACGAGGGGGTGAAGGGGAAGGTCAGAGAGACTTCTAGGCTTCTTTATTTCCGTATGTAGAAGCATCATATTTTGTGATAACTTTCTGCACCCCAACAGAGGTTTCAGGGAAAAAATAATTAAGTTGAAAAGAAATGGGGTAGATCGACCAAACTATAGAGCAAGGGTTTTCAGCATAAGATTCATATATGCTACAATACCCCTAAGGATAAAATTCAGTGGTTAAGTGGCTGTGGTGGTGGGGAGGGGGAAGTCCATGAGTTTGGATAGGGAATTTTAATTAACCTTTAACTAAATTATAGCTTTCCATTTTATCATGAATTTAGGCCACAAACCTCAGTACTTGTTACTTTGTTACCCAAAAGAAATTACATGTTTCATTTCTCATTAGACTTGCTCAATTATCTTGAAACATTTATATGTATCTAATTATTAATGGAAGTTATTAGGTTCACCAAAAGATATTATGTAATGTGTTCATTATATAAGCATATATCACTATCAAATTTATTTTTAAAAATGCTTTGATAACTAATTTAATAAAATTGTGTGTTTTTTGTTTTTGTTTTTATTTTTTGCACTTCATACACTTAAAACATCATTCTGTAAACATTTTCCATGTCACCAGACAGCCAAAGGTGTCCATAATATACAAGAAAAGTTAAGAATTTTATTTCTTTTTTAAAGATTACATCAGAGTTCTGTGAGCGAGGGTGGGAAGCAAAATTCTGCAAACTGGGCAAGGAAAAAGATTGACAAGGGTATTCCTTATTTGCTTACAACAACGAAGTTATTTGCCATGACACATTAAATAATCCTCCTCCACAGATAAACATCAGCCTTACTAGGAGGCCTTGGTTTCTGACAGGAGCTCAACATACTGTACTTTTCCAACATTCATAAACAGCCCTTTGTCAAACCACATCATAATTCCTTTCCCCACACAGACGCTTAAGTCTGTGAGGTAAGGGTTTTAACAGTCTGTGTGACTAGGAACCATTTACATATCAAAGGCAATAGTTACGGGAAACACTTCCTTAAACTTCTTGGTTCTAAGTTCTGAGGGAGGCAACAAGATTTCAGGCGTTTCCCCAATATGAAAGCCTTTCTTGGGCTCTAGGATGATGTCACGCCTACAGATATCATCTCATTACTCATTTCATTTTAGGGGCATATATTTTGCAACTTGGTGGGGAGTGGGGTACTGAGAATGATTTACAGCGCATCTGTCAGGGAAAATGTGTGTAGCTCTGATGGAGCCTCTGGGGAGTGTACTGTCGTGTCACAAAGCTCTCCGTTGATCTGTGGGCGAGCTGGACGGCTCTGGGCAACATGGTGACTCCCTTGGCACGGTGCACAGGTTGATGTCCTCGAAGAGCCCGCCAGGTAGTTTCACGCCTCCTGCGGCGCCAGCGCCGTCCACTCTCGAGATCTCGCTGGAACAGCAGCTCTCGGATCAGCAGCTCGGTGAACTTCTGGTAGCTGCGGATCCGGTGCAGGGCCCCGGTGCCAGGTCGGTAGCGGTGGGGCTCTCTTACGCCGCCCGTGACCCGTGTGGTGAAGCGACGTGCTGCACTCTCTGCTAAATTGGAGCCAGGGCAATACTCCTTTCCTACCAAACTGTTTCAGAAAGTGATGAAGCTAATGGCAGGCCGTGAACACAGTAACTGGGTTGATAATTAAACAGTGGCCTAGAAGGTCTGCTCACGATAATGAAATTTTGCAAATGTCAACATCTTCCCTGTTTTTTCTGAACCTGAGGTATTCGCCACAAATTGCCTTTAACCCCGACTGCTTTTCGTTTCTCATTCTTTTCCCCCTCCAATAAAGCAAGTGTTAAGTTCTTTCCGAGAAAATATGGGTGGCCCTGAAAAGAGCCTTTGGTTTACACTCTTTAAGAGTTGCTGCAATTAACCCAGGTTGCTACTTGCCCTTGGCCTTGTGGTGACTCTCGGTCTTCTTGGGCAGCAGCACGGCCTGGATGTTGGGCAGGACGCCGCCCTGAGCGATGGTGACTTTACCCAGCAGCTTGTTGAGCTCCTCGTCGTTGCGGATGGCCAGCTGCAGGTGGCGCGGGATGATGCGCGTCTTCTTGTTGTCGCGGGCCGCGTTGCCCGCCAGCTCCAGGATCTCGGCGGTCAGATACTCCAGCACCGCCGCCAGGTACACCGGCGCGCCGGCTCCCACCCGCTCGGCGTAGTTGCCCTTGCGGAGCAGGCGGTGCACACGGCCCACGGGGAACTG